TTAATTAATTTGTATAATTAGTTTAAGGGAGTTTGGGAATTTGGTTAAATTCATGAAAATTGAGGAATTCATTGATTAAATTGGTGTAGTGGGATAGTTTAAACCACTCACCTATTGAATTGTTGTTACATTTATTCCAGTCTAGAAATAACTGTTTTGGGCTATCGGTGGAGGATAGTCGTGATTGTTGTAGACATTGCATGTGGATTAGGAATAACTGAAACTAATCACATTGGTTAAGTTATTAATTTTGACTATTGTATTAATACAGAAAATACGTGTATTGATTGAGCATGGCATTTGCATACATTGTTTTGTGTGGGAGGAGATAGGGGATGTACTCCACGGTTTAGGGGAAGAGTAGGGGATGGACCTCTAAACCGGATTTTGTTTGGGAGGAGATAGGGGATGGACTCATTAGCACACTTTTATGTGTGCTTATTATATAGAAGTGTTTTTATTGATACAGCACTAAAATGTGTATCAAATTGGAAGTATGAAGTGTTTTGATTGAAGCTTGAGTCCTCATCTATTTGTTGATAACTCAATTGTTTGTTGACATTGGAAGAATGTGAATATGATATATATATAGTTCACTGTTGTAAGTTTGGTCAGGTTCTGAGCCATATTGATAATGTTGGAAAGTAAAACGTGTTTTAGACATTAGTGTCATGAGACTGTGTAATGATGTAATTGATTATCTTGGTTAACCATCTATTGAATGCTATTGCTTTAATCAATGCTTATATTTGGTTTAGTATATTTCTACTGGGCTGTGGCTCACCCTTTATGGGAACATCATTTTCAGGTCCAGGTGATAAGCTACCTCCAAGGACTTAGCTTGGAAGGATTTGGATTTTGAAGACTATCTTTAAGACTATCTTTAGTTATTTGTTTTTATTTGATAAACATTCAAGCCTAGGGTTTTATTTGTATTTGAGTTAGAACTCATATTTTTGTGTCCAAGTGTTGGCTTGGAAAGATGTAAGCCCATAGGGCATTTAATTTGATAGTATATGTAATGTTTCTTTTTGTAATACTCTGATGAATGAGATATGAATTGGTTTCTTTTAATATTGCATGCCAATGATATATATATATATATATAATGGGTTTAATAAAATAAAATATTTAATTAAAATTATAATTATTTTATTTCTTTCTCATAAAATTTAAAATTTCTTTACTTATAAAATTTAAAATTTAAAAGGTATTGATGGAACAACTGTTGATGAAACTATTGGACCTCTTGAAGCATCGACAGAGGCACAATTTGAAGATGACGAAGAACTGATATGATATTGTAATTGGCAGCATATTCACTTTTACATTTGTGTTTTCTGTATGGATATTCATGTTAATAAAATCTTTGCTTTTGTACCTTTGTACCTTTCTTTAAATGGCCATTTTTACCTTTCATGTACTCTTATTTTGTTTTGAATGCAGTAGATATTTATAGATTATCATGTCCTCACTCTTATGTTTGTAGTTTTTTTATAGATATTATCTATGAGTTCTAGCTCTGACCATTCTTCTGGTGAAAGTGAGCAATCAAGCTCTAGTAGTTCTAGTTCAGATGAGACTCAGACCACACTCAAGATGAAAGTCATACCTGATCCACCGGCATCATGGCATCTACCAGGCAATCTTCCTACCACATCACGTAGCGGTAGTACATCACATGGCTCTGTTTCAGCCGGCATGTATCAACTTTGCTTGATATTTTCTTATGGTGTTTTTGAGTTAGATTTGTAGTCCTATCTATCATACATCATGCATGGTTATTTTAAAAAAAATTGAGTTTGGATAATTAAAAGCATAATGTGTGGTATAGAAGCATGGATAGCAGAATTTTAACACCCCATGGTATGATATGTTGAAATTTGTTGAAATTAAAAGCATAATTCAGATATTCAACTGAAATGCATATTATTTGATTTTCGTTTAGTATAAAAGGTATGCTATAGCTCAATGTTACACTTGACTGCATCTTCAGTGACCAATTGAGTGCATCATAAAGAAACTAATATGAAGCTTACTACTATTGTTTTGTAGGTCCTAGCTCAAGTCAAGCCACACAAAAGCAGACAAGGGGTCCAACATATGTGCATGGTTAATGGGGTACTAGTGAAGATGGCATTTTAAAAGTTGTTCCAAATGAGTTGAATCAAGTAGTTGAAGGACACACATCCCTTGCTTCACATTTGGGCGTTTTGGCACAAGATGGGAGTCTTGCACCACTCACTTTTACGACTTGGCATTATGTTCCAAAACAAAACAAAGATAACATATGGAGGGAGATAAAGGTATATATGGATATTTAATATGAAATAAGTTACAATTGTATTCCATATGAAATGCATATTACAAGTGTAGTTAACATTGCATATTACAAGTGTCTATAATTGTAATGCAGGCTCATACGGATGCAGATGAATCCATGAAGAGAACAATAATGGCTTCATTTGGAAAGAAATGGAGAGATTGGAAAAGTCGAGTGAAAACAATGGGATACAAACCTTTCAAGAATGATACAGAAAGGTTGGCTCATCGACCAGATAGAGTACATGAGGATCAGTGGCGGGCTTTGGTCTACTATTGGGGCACTCAGAGTGCATCGGTAAAATTTTATTTATGTGAAAAAATGTTTATATATGATAATTTTTTATAACATCTTAAATAAATTTCACATTGGACAGAAATCAAGCAAGAAGAATAGAAAAATCTGGAAGAAGAAGACATTACATCATAGAACAGGTCGAAAGCCTTTCTCAGTAGTTCGACTGGAGGTATAATTATTCTCTCCATTCATCCTTTTCATTCTTTGTCAACTATATCTATCTATATGTGCTAAAAAGCTGTCAACAATTTGCACCATAATGAATTTATACCAGTTCTACAAAAACATATGTTATTTGCTTAGTTGTTTATTTTATTTACTTAACTTGTTCACATATTTAATTGCTTAATTATTTAATTTTCTTATTTATCTTAAGATTTTGTTTGTCTTTCATTTATAGGAGACAAAAAAGAACAATGGGGTTCCTGCTAGTCGGTCACAGGTGTGGATGGCCGCATACATGAAAGATGGGACGTCAAATAGTGATTCAGTTAATGAGGTTATGGTATGTGATACTACTTTATCTTTGGACTTTTAATATGATTTATATTTATATTGGAGGCTGATTATTGAATTCAAACTTGCAAACTCAAATGAATGAGTTAGCAGAGCACATGGAGGGATCTTCTACTGACCCTGCAGCATTACAGGAGCAAATCTTCACACAAGTTATGGGCCCAGAGCGACCTGGCCATGTTCGGACGTTTGGATTGGGACCGTCACCCACTGATGGTTTTGGAGGTGGATATAGGCGGTCACAAGAGCAGAATCGTCTCTTCCAAACTCAAGTTCAAGAGCAACTTTAACGGTATCAAATGCAGTTTGCGTCGAAGATGAATGAAGTAATGGAGAAACAAATTCAGGCTATGCGCACAGATTTTCAATCACGAATTCAGTTTTTGGAATCTCAATTGCAAGTTGTAGGCGTGCCCGTTGATCCAGTTGTTGCGCCATCAAACCCATTACATAGGCAGCATGTATTTTAATTATTTTTACTAATTATTACTTTAAATTACCTAGAGCTAATATACAACTTAAGTCTCTAATTGAATGATAGGTTGTGGATTCACTTAGTAGTCATCCCACTGTTCGGCCAATGTCACATCAATAACAATCTCATGCATTTTCATCCCAAGAGGTGAGCAATCATTTAATCAAAGCTTTTTTGACAAATAACATATCTTATTAATTACAATACTTGCTCTTATTAAATATAGGTTCACCTTTCAAAAAAAAGAGAAGAAGAATAAGAAGAAGAAGAAGAAGAAGAACTAACAAGGTAAAAGTACTAATATCACTAGTTCGTGGTTCATGTTCATTTGATTTGTAAGGCATTGTTGGTTCTGAAATTAGGGTTTTGGTTGTTACTGTTGTGACTAGTGACTAAATTTGGGTATTTTTGGAGATGGAAAATTGACAATCTTTGTTAATGTATTCACTGTTTGATTTCCAAGCAACATTAAGAAGAAATACAAGAACCTGGAAGCTCACAAGAAGTTTGGGTTAGAATGGTAGTTGTGATGTGAGGCTATTAATCTTTCTTTCATTTTCCAGGTGTGTATCGATATCTAACTGGTGTGTTAGTGTAATTTTTGCTTGAGAAGCTCCAGACATGCGAACTCTTTTTTGGTCAGTGTCTGAGTCCTGTTCTATATTTATCAAAAGACCTCGTTTTTGTTTTCTACGTTCATCTGAGTTTCTGGTTGCTAATGATTCTTCCAACTTTCCAAAACGATCTGAGATAAGCTTTTCCCCGAACCATTGACCCTTGTTCGGCAGGGAAAAGTTGATTCATTCAATGGAGCTTTATAAGTAACCCTGAGGCTGGTGTGAGATCTGTTAACAACTTTGTCAAGCCAACACTGCTTCTTACTGATTTATATGATGTCTTGAACACTTCAGTTGCATACACAAACTGATATTTTCTACTGTCCAAGTGCGAGCTTTGGACAAATTTAGTTGTCATCCATGGTTTATGGTGGACCTTCTATGTACTTATGGTGGCTTATGCATAATCATGTGATTGTCAAATGTTGACTTAGCTGTTGGCTAATCATGAGAGCTTAATCAGAGTAGTGAATGTTTGTCGTCCCAACACCAATTAAGTGTTGGAAGCCTACAACTTTTACATTAAAGGGGTGACCATTTATGAAGTCATCTTTGCATTTGAAGCTTTGAATTTGGGCTCAGGGCTTTGTTTTCATTGTTGTACTTGAAATCTCTCTTGCTATGTAATGACTGCCAAAATGTGCACTCAGCAACATGTGCACTCTTAGAGATAGTCTTCATAACTACAGATAAATGTCAGAATCATTTTAAGAAGTTGTTTGTCTTGGATTCGGTTTGAGCAGTACTATGTTTTTTCCTTCAGTCTACAAATATTTGTCAAACCAACTCTGAATAAAGCATTAGCTTCTGGTTTGAGTGCGGGAAGAATGATTTCGACTTGTGCTTTTGCTGCAGATCCAGATGATCCACTGAAGACTACTGATCAGACCAGGCATCTTGGCTTAATCGTATGTTCTCCGTAGTCATTAAAATTTGAACATAAAATTTGCAATGGAGTTCTTATCTTTAATGTACTGCAAAGATTTTTAATTTTTGTGGAAAATCCTCTTCATGGGATTTTTAAAAAAAATCTGAATTGGAAAATTCTTGCATTTTTGTTTTGATTAAGTTTTAATTGGGGTAAAGAACTGGAGTATTTAGACTAACTGAAACCATGAAATGCCTTAGGCGGGACATAGATAACACGTTTTATATGCAGTAGGCTCCTTTTATAAAAGTTCAGTAGCTTGGTATGTTCAACCAGAAATTTGGTTTCATAAATGAAGCTTTGCATTGTTTCTTTTTGTTTTTTTGTTTTTTAAATTTTTTTTTTATTAAGCAGGCTACAAGTTTTGCTGCATCTTTGGGAGAGCATCAAATTATGCACGAGTCTTTAGGTTTTGATACTGCAAATTCTCTTTTCTCAACACTTAAATGGGAAACAAGGGTTATTATGGGCTTTGTATTTGTTGCAGTTTTTGAAAATAGTTTTCTGTTCTAGGAGTCACGTAAAACAGAAAATAGAATTGAAAATTTGTTAAGTTCATTGTTCTCAGGAACTATTTTCAGGAAAAAAAAAGGAGTTAAAAAAGAACCAGTTTTCAGAGAAACACCAGAATTATGTTCTGTTTTTTTTTTTTTAACCAGAAATACTAAAGAATAAAAATACCGTCCCATAATTTTCAATTTTCAGAAAAATGAAAATTATATTAGTGAAGTTTTGGCTGTTATATAATTTGTCCGATGTTTTGATTCAAAAGGTTTGATGGAAATTGGTGGTGCATCATGTGAGGTGGATTTTATTTAAGGAGTACCGTTTCTTTTATATAAAATTGGATAAAATATCTTGGGAAGTATGCTTAGAAGTGCCATCCAAAAGTTGTATATACTTTTCCTATCCCAAAAGATGAGAAGGGAAGTTGCAATACTTTGAAGAATTCTTGGTTAAATATTTGTTGTTGGTTCTATTGCAGGTGTGTAGGGGAACTGTCGTGATGCTTGTATCACCTACTGATGGAACTGATGAGATTGCGAATCCTTTCATCCAGCCAGATGGGGCTTAAATCTCTGGACTTATTATGTAGCTGCCTTCTTAACATTTGGTTTTTTCTCATTTAAGATATTCTAGAGTTTGAATTTAGTTTCTGTTTTGTCTACTTGAATGTCATTGTCTATTAATGTGAAATAGTAGCAAATGCCATATTACATTCTGTGATTTCTTTGAACTGATCAGGTGTTTTGGTGCCCCTGCGAAGTGAATATGATTTAAATAGGCGGTCTTTCTAATTGTAATCACTTGCAGGTTATCCATGGTATGATTATACAACATTTACTGAAATTGCAAAACTGCTAGTTCCAATCAAGTGTTGACAAAAAATGCACATATGAAACAAACAGGTGATGAGCAAAATGCAGTGATGATTTGATTTACTTGGGACATTCAAATGCTCCTTTGGCTTTTTTTTTTTTTTTTTTTTTTTTGCAACTTATAATTAGAAGCATTGAAATTATTTTAGCCACATTTGCATGTGAAAATAAGCCGTTGTTGAATGAAGTCACATGCCCATGTAAACGGTGTCGTAATGTCAAATTGGTGGAGAAAGGCCTGTTAGGGGAACATTTAATAATCAATGGGTTTCTTCCAAGTTACACCAGTTGGATTTTTCATGGGGAGAATTTGTCATCGCCTGTGCCACACAATGTGAATGTCGGGCAAACTGATTCGAATGATGGTGATGAAACTTATGAAATGCTATACGAAGGATTTGGACTTCCTCCACCAAGCTTTATTCACGAGGCAGCAAGTTCAAGAAACACTGTTACAACCATATAAGGAGGACAAAATAACAAATAGAGAATCATTAAAATAAAACGTTTATTTAAGTACTAGAATAAAATTTAAAGGGAAAACCCACTTTGACCCTTCCACAGATTTATTTAATTTTTGCTATCATGCACTAATCTTCGAACCACATGGGAGGGCAATAATGAATACCTGTCTATTTAGCAATAGGATTTTACGTTAGGTAGCATAGAGCATCAGTTGATTAATATGAATTGCTTGAGAGAAAACCCAAATCCACCCTCACCAATACCAGAAAAGACCATATC